CCACCCCCTCCCCTCTAGAACCCTCAGTTTGTTTCTCAGAGTCCATCGTCTCTCATGGTTCATCTCCCCCTCCGACTCCCCCCCTTCATTTATGCTTATTTCTATTTGTCTCCAACAAACCCAATGAATACTTTTCATGGATGCCCCACATAGGGAAGATATGATGGCCTTCTTTATACAGGAAAGAACATCTTCAAAAGTGAGTAAAAATTTGAAAAGGCAAATGAAATGAACTTACAAAAGCAGTATTTTGGGAAAACAAAATATAACTTATTTTAATAAGCATGAGGAAAATTAAGTTCAAGACAATTGCTAATTTTTGTATCGTGAGCTTTTTGGTGTGTATTAGTGTAGTAATTGAGGTGATGGGTTTTATGTGAGACACTCAAAGGTATTATACTGTTTCTCTTTTTATGTGTTTATTTCATGGGCTTTGTCATCTCACATTTTTTTATGTGAGTATATTTTATATTGATATTTTAAATATTACTGAAGTTTTTCTTTTTGAATTCTTATCATTTATTAGGTTCTAGATTTTTACACCTTTTCTTTATTGCTTCTATTGCAGAACTATTTAGAAAACTGGCTAAGTAAAAATAATGCCGTAATAAGGGTGGAGTGAATCTATTGTTTTTATAAAAATCTTTCCAAGTTGTTCTTTTCATTTTTGTTTTAATATTCAGCCACAGAAACTAAATAAACAAAACCCCTCTAGGGATGATAGGAATGTAAAACATGCTCATGCAAACACACACACACACAGTTCATCTCCTTATGAGACACGTTTAGAATATTAGGCAGGTGAAGAAAGGTCTTAAAGACAACTACATATTTTCTCACACCTGTCTTAGAGAGTCAGACAAAGATATCTTTTAGGTTGTTTTTAGGATGCTCAAGTGTTCCATCAGGTTAGTCACAGATGTTTTCAATCATCCAGATATTTGATCAATTGTCCAGACGTTTGTCAATTTTATGTGACATAACTGAATGGCCCAAACTGACTTGAGTTGTTATTTTAATGCATCGCAGGGTTAGACTGAGGGAAGTATTCAATGGAGCCCATCCACATGGCCTTAATGGAGAAATAAAAACCGGTACTTCTATGTTCCCATTTAATCCTGTGGTCATGCTTATTCACTTTGGTAAATTGAACTCAATAAAATTTGTAGAGAGTTTCTGCCCCAAGAATCTAAAGACTTAGTCTGAAGGGATATCTTTGAGTGTTTATTTAGCTGTTTAAAATTTGAAAAGAAAATCTAAATTGATAATTACATTTTATATTTGCCTTACTGCGGATTGAGTTCAAACCTGAAAATATCACTTGAGTTTCCTTAAAATAAATTGCTTTCAAAACAAAACTAATAGCATTTCTTAGACTACCAAATGTTACCTAATGGTGCATAGAAATTGTAGTGGAGAGAAAGGACAAGTTTTAGAAACAAACACATTGGGTTTTGAATTCTAGCTCTGCTATTATAGATAACTCGATCGTGAGTAAGTTACTTAATTTCCCTAATCTTCAATTTACTCCTCTGTAAATGTCAGTGGTATTATAAAGATGAACTATAATGAATATAAAATGCCTGGCACTATTACTTGTAGCTATTATGATTCTCTTAATTTCTCAGAATAGGTACATCTCTTCAAGATGGAATGTGTCATGTCTATGTGGAATTTTAACCTTATACAGTGCTTGTGATCCTTCCTCAACCTTAAATGTGCAACTATTTGAGGCTAATATGCACTCATTCATTCAACAAATGTTCTTCTGATACCGACCGTGTTGCAGGTCCTATCTTGGCATGGCAATATATTGAGGAACAAATAGATATAGCCCCTGTACAATTAGGGTTTGAAACTAATTGGGAAGAAGGAATAAACAAGTAAATAATCAGATTTTTAAAAATACATGATTTTAAAGGATGCTACCAAAAAAGTATAGGTACTGCAAGGAAGTAGAACTGATTTATATTAGATTATCCAACAAGTGTCTGAGTAAGTGCCATTTAGCCTGATTCCTGAAGAGTAAGTATGGTTAATAGGTAAGTTATAGAGAAAATGGCAATTCCAGGCAGAGAACACTGATGTGTAAAAGTCGTGTGTCAGGAAAGAACTTTCTGCATTGAGAAACTAAAACAAGATTGGTGGGGTTAGAAAGTTGGGACAAGGAGCAGGATCAGAGGGGACACTGGGGTAATGGAAGAGAGGCCATCAGATGTGTTTTAGGGTAACTCTTAAACTCAATCTCAAAAGGACTGAAATGAGCAAATGCTTTATTTAGCCTCTCCTCTCACCTCTTTCACTTTTTACATGCTTAATGCTCAAAAGCAAGAGAGAACTCTCAGAGGACCGGAACATGTAAAGAAATCCTGAAAACAGAAGAATGCAAAATGTGCAAGAGAAATTGTGTCACTGGATGTGAGAAATAGCAAACCTGCTTCATCATCTCAGTAATAGACACTGGGAGCCACAGAGCCATGGACAACCAACAAGCTGGTTGGCTGGAGTGCCACAGAGGGGAATATGTAAAGCAAACACTATAGGCCTACAGAGTAAAATGGGCAAATTCATAATCACAGTGAGAGGCTACACATCCCTCTCTCAGAAACCAACCAAGAAACCACCCACTAATAAGGAGGGATATGGAGGGGTTGTGTAATGCACTTAACCAGCCTGACTGAATAGCTATACAAAGAAGACTGTACCACGCATATGAAACTACAGATCATTTTCAAGCACACAGACTACAGCCACAAAAATTTATCATGCGCTAGACCACAATGAAAAGGTCAGCAAATTCCATAAAGGTGATATTATACAGGCTACATTTACTTATTCATCAACAATTACAAGAAATTGCACTACTCAAAAAATCTCCATATAGAAGGAAATTAAACACATACATGTGTGCAAACACACACACAGAACCAAATAATTATTAGGTTAAAGTGAAAATCAATATGGAACTTGTAAACTATTCAGAGCTAAACAAACAAATGAAAAGTGTTATATAACAAAACTAAGGGAATATAAAGCAAAACTGAGAAGAAACTCTATGAACTTAAGTTTAATTCTCTTAAAAAGAGAATTAAAGGGGCGCCTGGGTGGCTCAGTCGGTTAAGCTTCTGCCTTCCACTCAGGTCATGATCCCAGGGTCCTGGGATAGGCTCCCTGCTCAGTGGGGAGTCTGCTTCCCCCTCTCCCTTTGTCCCTCTCCCTCTGACCCTCTCCCTCACTCCTGTTTGCTTTCTCTCTCTCAAATAAACAAATAAAATATTTAAAAAAGAGAGAATTGAAAATAAATGATCTATGCTTTTAAGACAAGAATCTAGGGAAACAAAACAAAATGAACATAAAATAGAAAAAAAAGGTTAATGTAAATGAAGGCATAAACCAACTAACTAGAAAACAGAAAATGAAAAATTGATGAATAAAAACAAAAAAAAGCCAGTATTTTGAAAAGATTAATACGATACTTTAGTAAATATGACCAAGATAAAAAGGTACACAAATAATTGTCAGACATGAAAAGAGAAACAAGGACAATACAAAGGAGCTTGAAAAATTATAAGAAAAATATTTAACCTCAGAGCAGTAAATTTGTAAATCTAGATTAAATAGATTATTAATTTTAAAAAATAAATTTTGAATTTATGTACTTTTGTGGCCTATTATAGTTCAAAAAAAGGTTTATAATTAATAATAATTAAAAATATATTCTCTGGAGAATAAAGAAAAGAGAAAAAAGGAGCTGAAATGTTTCAGGTGAGTAAAATCATTGGCATGCACACACAAGCAAAGCATTTCCTTTAGGACAAGTTTAGGAGCTGTAGTATCCTGTGCCATGCCAGTTTTCAGGGAGAGATGGTAGGAATTGGAACCCCTGCCAAGAAAGAGGCAAGCGAAGCACTAATTGTTTATAGAAGGGGTGCTTGAAACAGAAAAAATAAATAATTTAATATTATTTATTAATAATATTTGTCATCACTGAAACCTCTGAATGCTAAGCAGACATATTTTGTATTTTCTGTTCAGGCCCAAGTCTCAGAATATAGGCTATGAGAGTATTTAATTTGAAGTCCAAAGAAAACAAGAGTGACTTTTAATCACTCCCTCCTACCTCAGTAAGTGCTCCGAATTAAAAGAAAAATAGTTCTAATAATAATTTATATAATTTTTGATTCTATACACCCTTTCTTAAAATATTTATTTTCCTGGCCCAGGCCACTCTCACAACTAATATCAATGCCTTAGAAAAATGCGTAGTCTCAAAAATCATATGAACTATATCACTTAGAAGTAAGAGCTGGAAAAGGACAAGAGACCATGTGATTTCTTCTTCCAACTCTTAAATAAATGCTTTCTTATGATATGTAAATTTTATCTATTTGTTATTTAAACTTTTTAAGGGTCAAATAAGCTTTTGTTTCTACCATCAGGGCTGGGAATGTACAACAGCCCTTTCCATGTGAGTGGTTTAAGGTCACTCAATGTGTTGGTGGCCTGGTAATGCCATTATGGGGTCTGAGTTTCCCCTTTAAATTTTTGTTCTTAAATATTGTGTCCTTTTGGGGGCTGCTGGGTGGCTCAGCTGATTAAGCATCTGCCTTCAGCTCCGGTCATGATCCCAGGGTCCCGGAATCGAGCCCCGCATTGGGCTCCCTGCTCAGTGGGGAGCCTGCTTCTCCCTCTGCCCCTCCCCCCTCTTGTGCTCTCTCGTTCTCCCTCACTCTCTCTCAAACAAATAGATAAAATCTTTTTTTTTTTTTTTTTTAGAATTTTTAAAACTTTAATACAGTTCAAATCAGTGGGCCAGGTTCACTTCAGCTCCTTCACTGCCAAACCTGGGGGCAGGGACTGCTTCAGTTTCTCTGCCTTCTCTTTGTCCGTGATGACCAAGGTGTAAAGGTATCTGCTGCACCGCACTTTAAACTTCACATTATCCTTATTTTTCTTGATCTTGACGGATTTGGCGTCCTTTCGCCTGGCCGTAGCAGAAAGTCCTTGATTTCCTCGATTTTGCGAGGCATGGCTACAGGGGGCGCAGGGGAGCGCGCGGCCGGCACAGCAAGCGCCAAGAAAGGAGGACGGAAAAGCGATAAAATCTTTAAAAAAAAAAAAAAAGAAAGAAATATTGTGTCCTTTTTACAAAGGATTATTTTAAAAATACGAGATGTAAATAAAATAGAAGTAAGTATGGTGGAAAGTCTTACAGGAAACATATACAATGTAGAGTGACTTAATCTGCTCAGGTTGCCATAACAAAGAACCACACACTGGGTGGCTTAAACAATAGGATTTATTTTCTCATGGTTCTGGAGGCTACAAGGCCTAGATCAAGGTGTCAGCAGCGCTGGTTCCAACTGAAATCTCTCTCCTTGGCTGTAGGTAGCAATCTTCTCCTGTGTCTCCCATGGTCTTTCTATTTATTTATTTATTTATTTAGATGGGTATTTGTGTCTAAATATTCTCCTCTTACAAGGACACCCGTCATGTTGGATTAGGGCCCACTCTAATGAACTCAGATTAAGTTAATTACTTCTTTAAAGACTCTATCTCTAATTACATTCTCAGGCACTGGGGGTTAGGATTTCCATATGAATATTTGGTGGGCGGGGGCACTATTCAGCCCATAGCAGAGGTTTTATGATCTATAAATTTAAATGGGGGGAAAAATATGGCATAAAACTAGCTGATAAGACCATTGTATGAGGCAACGAAAGAAAAAATTATTTGAGAAGCATTTGAAATGCTCACAAACTTGGCCAAATATTAGACAAGCAGTTGAAATTAATTTCTATCTCCCCCACCATAAATCCATAGTACTTTGTTGTTTCCTGTAGTTTGTTTGTATTAACTGAGTTAATTGTGTTGAAGAGCTTTTAGAAAAGGCCTTGCACACAATAAGGATTTAGGAAGTATTAGTCTTCCATGCCGTCATTGTTAGCTAGAACTCATCTGTCTGCCTTTAGTGAAATGAGGTACTCATGTACCTGTCTCGCCAACAATCATGAGTTCCTAAAAGGTAGAGACTCGCTGCCTTTTCTTTGTTAAAATACACTGCAGCCACACAGTGCTTGACACATAGAATGTGGTAAACCAATGTTAAACTTCACAGGAAGAATAAAAGCAAGAATTTGCCATTTCTTAATTTTTTTCCTTAAAAGCCTGGACTATATAAATGCTCTAATACATGCTGGATGACATACAAATAATATTTACTTAAATATGGAAACAAATTTTTTTGAAACAACAGAAGAAAAATCATTTACTGAGGCATGTTAGAGGCTCATGAGAAAAATAAGAAGGAGCTAATTTTAAACCACTAAAGAATTCCAATTTGGTAGTGTTTGTAAAATGCTTTGAAGATGCAGAGTGGTGCATGTGCATTTTTTTTGAACTTGGCAAAAAGGAAAAGGACATTGAATGCATTAAACCAGATGGAGTGTGAGAAACATGAAGAAAAAAGTGAAAACTAAATCATTAAAAATACAGTTTTTTGGAAATAATTAATATTTTTGTTGTCATCTGGAATATCCAAAGCTTCAAGTATAATAAAAAAGTATAACTTTTAAAATGTACAATTTGTAAATGTATTTTTATTTTGAAGATGTTTAATTAGAAAGATATTAATAGTTTTATCATTATACTTTCTCCTAGAAAAGAAAAATGCGGTGTCTCTAATCAGGGTCTAAACAGAAAACTCAACGTGCACTGCATGCCTCATACTTGCATGTGAGACTGGTGTTTTGGTGTGGACTACAGCAGTGTAGGTGGCTTCTTCATCATATATTGTTTCTATGGGGTGTGTTTTGTTTTCCTACTTCATAGAACTCGACTACAAAACACCTACCTTTATTGGTATGATTCAATAGTCATTTTTGTACTGCCATCCATCACTTTACATTCCTATTGCAGTTTTTTTTTTTTTTTTTTTAAGTAATTCAAAGTGTATGTTTTGGAAGAAGACTGGCATGGTTTGAAGAGCTCTGAATTAGAACATGGCTGGCAAATTTTGCTCATCTAGGCATTAGATGGGGGACAATGAGCAAGTCATTTATATTCTCCAATCCTCTCTTTTCTTATTTGAAAGATAAAGGAAATACCTATTCTTGTTATCCAATGTAGTTGTATTGAGGATTATTTGTGAAAATGTATATAAAAATGCTTCTTAAATGAAATGTGACTTATTTCTATTTGTTTAGCAGGACTTATAATTGACTTTCCTCAGATCACCAGCTCTAACACTTCAGATGATATCAACTGCAAGAGATACCAGTCCTCTACGTATATTGCTCAGAGAAATTTTAGCAAGCAACTTCTATTCTTCATAAGTTTGGTTGCATGATAGAAGGGTATATGATGAGATATAAGCAAAATTCAGAGTTGGAAAAGCAGTAAAGAATATCTAATTAGGTTTCATAAGAATTTGTCAATAAGGGGACTGAAGCCCAGAGATGGTTAATAATTTCCCTAAGATCAGTGTGTTCTGATATTTAATTTAGCGCTTACTATGTCTCATGCATGATGCTATTGGAAAAAATCTCTGGGTTATGTTTCCCTGGAATACAGGGCCTTGTCTCAATCTTTCAGATCAGGGCTCAGCAAACTACAGCATGAGCCAAATCTGAGCTATCACCTGTTTTTGTAAATAAAGTTTTATTGGAACATAGCCACACCTATTTATTTAGGTATTGTCTATGGCTGCTTTCACACTGTGGGGGCAGAGTTGAGTACTCCATCAGAGCCCATATGGCCCACAAAGCCTAAAATATCTACTATGTGGCCCTTTACAGAAAAAAAAATTGTCAAGTTCTGTTTTAGGATAACATGATTACTTTTTATAAAAGTTCTTTTAGAATATCTTAAAGAAAGTGATACATACTTGTTGGGAAAAACATCAAATATTTTAGAAGCGTATAAAGTGAAATGTCAAAGAGAAAACTTTTCCTTCATTTCGGATTCTTTTTCTCTCACCTTTAGAGCCTAGCACAACTGCCTGGCACAGAATAAGTGGTCATCAATAAATGTTTGTCAAGGGAAGGAAGGAAGAAGGGAGATTAGAAGGGAGAGGCAGGAACAGGAAGGCTAGGTGACAGGCAGAAGGTCAAATTGGTTGAATTCAAGGTCAATTCAGTCATGATGATGAGAGAAAAAAACAGTGATTTTTTTTCAGACATTCATCTTGTTCTAAAACTTGATAATCCATTTCTGCCACAGTGTGAGTATTCCGTACCAGAGATTTTTATCTTCAAACATTACTTTTTCTTTCATTCTAATTATGGAGCCATGTTACAGAAGAAGCGAATTTGGTGAGGTGTGTGGTTCTGGGCTACTACCTATACTTAAGAAAATAAGTTTCATAAATTCTAATTTGCTTTGGCAAAAGGAAAAGATTTTATTTCCCTTTTTGTACAGCAAGAAGATATGAACCTCATGATTTGCACGTACAGTGGGGCTTCTGAGACAAAGAACAAAAATTCACATTAAGTAATAGATTCCCCATAATAAACAAGAGAAAGCAATGGGCACTTCTGGAATATTCTCCACCCTTATTTCCTAGAGGATTACAGACCGGGGATTGCCTTGGCAGGTACTTAACCACACTGTTTTACTCAAAGATTGCTCTCAGGTTGCTAAACATGAATTACACATGCTTCTGTCATGCTATTTTAAAAGCAGGTTATTATAAAACAGTGCTGACCTATGAATTCTCAAGTGAAATGTGTCATAAGAAAGTAACCCTAGAAGTTTACCTGTTTCCATCTTATATTCCCACTTCTTCTCCTCACTTTTGCCTGGTGAGGTAATATAATACAGAACCTTCAGCTTATTGTTTTAAGCAGAGTTCATCTAGTTCACTTCGGGTTCCTGGGTGGTGAATTGCTCAAAGACCTCCCATGGGTAGCAAACCCTTGCATTGTAATCTCATTACACAGCAGTGAACGTCTGTGGAATGAGGTTGTTTTTGTTTTTGTTTTTTCTCCTCAGGGCAGTTTGTTTCTGCCGCATAACAATGTGATACAGAAGGAAGCTGGTGCAAGTCTTTGGATGTGATATTAACTTGGAACTCCTTTTTGGCTGTCATCATTGACCATGTCACCACTTTGTCACCTGCCTCCTAGATTTTGTCAATTATAGCTGGGTGTCTCAGATCACTTCCTTCCCTGTGGAATGTGCCTGCAGTGTTTGCATGAGGGCGAGTCCACTCAGACCCCCACACAAGGTTATCACAGTTGATGGGGTTGTTTTACTTGCATTCTCTGGATTTGTGAGTTTAATATAAAGCCTTCCAATAGGGTGGGGGGATGAGGAGGACTCCAAGAACGTCAGAGGAGGAAGCACTCCCCCTAGCTATTTGACTGTGAGACTGATTTTATGAAATAAAATGTCTAGTGACCCTTTTACCCACAGCCTTGGGAGACTGAGCTTTCCTCATCTTGTTTGTTTTCTTTCATTCAAAAAAGAAAAAAAAACCAGTTTATTGAACCCCAGAACTCCAGTTACCAGCATCTGTTTACACTTCATAGAATGACTGAGTATGTGTGAAAAGAAAATGGCAGAAACCAGGAGGATAAGTAAGGAATGGTCCCATTCCTAACCTCTTTTGAGGATATTTGATTTCTTCTCTCCTTCATTCCCCTCTTCCTCAGTTTCCCCAAAAAACTTTACTCTTTGTGCACAAAACGTTGCCCTTTGGTGCTTAAGTATTAACTTTAATACTTAAATGTTTCAGCTATTAGTTCTTCAACAGCCTGGTATTCTCTCTGCACTTTTAATGTATAATAGGCACAGTGTAAACAATAAGATTTGTTTTCATTTACATTCATAATCACAGATTTGTATTTGCTTTAGAGTAATAGCACTCAAAAATGGAAACTTTTAAAATGTTTTATTCATTTAGTTAAAACCATTGGGTCATATCACAAAATGTGGCTGAATAAAGAAATATGGAAAGGTCATATGGGGAAGAAAGGACTCAGAGTTCTGATGGAGGACTGATAAAGAGAATAAAAATGATCATTTTAAT